TTTAAACCACACAGTTTGTGGTACTTGTTACAGCTGCCACTAGAGACTCATGCAGATTAAGCGGAGATGTTGAATAGGAATTGGACGTGTAACTGTGAGATCAGGCGAGGCCAGGACTGCAGAGCCAACCCTGGGCAGCGTGATGCCCACATATGCCCAGGCTGCTCTGAGTCACTGGCCTAGATGGCTCCATGTTCTGACCTGATGCTGGGAAGAGGAACAGCAGGGAGGGGCAGCCAAGGAGGCAGGAGGAACCAGAGTATGCACGGAATCTTAGATGTGAGAGAACAAAGAGCTTCCAGAGGGAGGTGGGGAGAGACGGATGGTGGCCGAGTCTGCTGAAATGAGATGAAGACAGAACTGACCATTGTATTTGCAACATGAAGGCCCTTGGTGCCTGGGGGGAGCAGTCTCCCTGGAGTAGAGGGCGATGGGAGCGAGCAGCTGGAAGCCATGACCACAGACGGGCCCTTTAAGGGGTCTAGCTGTGGGGAGGACAGAGAAACAGGCAACAGCTGGCGGGAGACAGGGGCAGGGGGGATGGTTTTTTTTTTGAGGTGGGAGAAGCAGGAGCAAGTGGTGAGCAGACCTGACAGGGTAAGTGCAGCAGGAGAAGGCAGGCAGCTGCAGGGGCAGGCCAAGCATGCAGAGCCTGGCAGGAGGGTGGTGGACGTCAGCTCTGCCCTTCCGGGGAGGCACAGAACTGCCATCAGCTGGAACATGGGGATGGGTGGGTGCTGGGAATTTTGGAGAAGGTGGTAAAAATATTACAGAAGAGGAAACTGAGGCTCAGAGACACTAGTGCTAGGTGAGAAGTGGCCCAGCCCACTCCCCCAACTAAGTTAGAGGGCCTCTCCCCAGCCCAGCAGCAGGGGAATGGTCATTTGTCCCTCCAAGCACACATACACTCGAAAGGAAAGGGGAAGTCGGGGCAGGACAGAGGCCATGCACACTCATGCTAGGACCCCCACTGTGACCCTGGGTGAAAGTGAGCAGCTCTGGAGCCTTTTTAGCCTGGGGTGGAGCTGACCACACAGGCCCTGCCCCTGCCCCTCTGGGGAGGCCAGAAAGGGGCTCTTGCCCCATGCCCTGTGCCATCCAGCCAGAAGCCCTCTTACAGAGATAGGGAGCCAGGCAGACGGGGGCCCCCTGCTTTCCTGGCTGGTCCCCCATCCGTGGAGCCTGAGATGAAGGCCCTTTGGGCTGGGAACACTGAATCCCCTCCTCCTCCCCACTCCCCCACAACAGATGTGAATTCCCTCTGCAAGGAGCTCCCCAGCACACCCTCCCCCAGGACGGCCCCAGCTGGAGCCAGGTCTCAACCTGGGCATCACGGCATTGTGCCTTGACCATGAAAACTCCAGGGGGAAGAAATGAAACCCAGAGCAATGGAAGAAAACCAGTATTTCCTTCGGGCCCACGACATGCTGGGAGTCTTCCTTATTAGGTTTTTACAAATCCCGGGAAGTGGGAACATCAGCCCCATTTTAAAGGCGAGGACACTGTATGCTGTCCCCTGCCCCGGGTCATGCTGCTGTGAGGGGTGGAGCTGAGCTCACACCCAGGCCTGTACAACCTCAGAGCCCACCTTCCCCCAACCCCACAGATGGCCCTAGCTAGGTGTCTGTTCAAGTTGACCTGGGGCCTCAGGGGAAGGGAGGGACCGGCAGAGAGAAAACCTCGTTCCTCATCTCTTAGAATCCATCTCTCTCAGGAGACTGTTCCCGCACCTAACCAGGCCAGCTGCCAAAGGGCAGCTGGTGGTACAGCCCTGCAGAGAACCCATGGGCAAAGCGGGGAGGGAAGGGCTGGGCTGGTCGGCTTGCTCATGTGCCTGTGGCTCTGGGTTATCTGCAAGGCTAGGCTGGCCTCCGCTCGAGCTCTGAGATGCGCAGGGAGGGATGCCAGCAGCACAAGAGATTCTCTGCGAAGTCTTAGTCCACCCGCCTCAGGACGCTTCTGTGGCCAGCACGTGAAAGGACAGAGACTTCACCTACACAGAGATGCTCTACGCACATCCTGCAAGCAGGCCTGGCCACCTGCTTCGGGAGCCCCTCACTGCAGCAGCCACACCGAGTGACTGAGTGAGACAAAGGGACCCCGTGATGGACAATCTCACTCCAGAGCTGCCCCGGTGGCCTGGCACTCCAACTGGCCTCACTTCTCCCTCTGCCTGACCCTTCACAGATGCTAAAATCCCTAATAATCACCCTCACCCCAAACCCCACTCAGCAACTACTTCCAGAACACTCCATGCCACAGCAACCTCTTTACCATCTGACATCTTTGGGGGTCAGCAGGTCTTCCACCACCCAGTGATGACATCCCATTTATCTCCTCGGGGCCTTGGCCCTAGGGCACCTCTTAGAGCCACAAGTAACTAGCCAGTCCTCTTCCTTTCTGAGACAGCCTCCTCTAATCCTTGCTAATCATACCCCACACTGTCAACTGCCACTGACCAGGACATTTCCAACCCCCCACCTGCTCTGTGGGGTCCACTGAGGGTGGGAGATACAGAAGACATTATGGGGCTGGTAGGTAGAAGCCGGGAGCTCTGTTCCAGCCTTGCCCATGACCTGCCCTGGGCAAGAGCTTGCCTTCTCTGAGCCTCACTGACCTTACCAATACAGCAAGCAGTTGGGGCCCAGTGGGGGGCACAGCAAGCCTGAAAGTCTGGACCAGCTCTCACTGGTCAATGACCCTCACATGGGATTGTTGCCCCGGCCCCTCCTGTCACAAGGTCTCAACCTGCCTTCTCTACGAGGTCAGGCTCAGTTCCTGCTGTTCCACAATTCCAACCTGGAATGCCTTGTTTCTTCTGTGACCTAAATCCCAAACTGATGGCTGCCTGGGTGACTCCTCTACACCAAGCCACACTGCTTCTGAAGCCAACTTCCTGAAAACCCACCTCCTAGAATGGGCTTTTGGGATACCTTAGGGCTCCTACAGGCTCAGAGGGGAACACACAATAGCTCTCCACATCTCAGGCCAGCTAGGCAGCCAAGTGCCCCCTACATGCTCCCTGGGCCTGGAAGCTGCCCAGGACCAAAGAGGGTGATGGGCTTCCCCAAGCAGAAGGAAAAGAGAGATGGCCTGGGAGCGCTAGACCACCAAGCCTATGTCTTTCCCAGCTTTGCCAGATGTGTTCTAAAAATGCTGCGTGACCTTGGACAAGTCACTTCACTTCTCTGCTCTCACTACTGCCACATATCCCACCCAGGACACCAAGGACCCTTGAATACTCATCCAGAGCAAGAGACCCCAGACTCACCCAGGCCAAGCCTGGGGAGAGCTGGGGATGGAGGAAGATTTTAGAAAAGGAAATCAGGGAGGAAAAGATCAGATCATTGCTGGGGGAAGTTCAGGCATTGGTCAGGAAGGATATCTGTGTGTGAACTGGGGCAGAGTAAGGGAAGGACAGAGGCAGGCTGCCCAGCCTATGGGCCCAGCTCAGCCACTGCCGCTGCAGGTGCCGTGGGACACCCAGGCCTCTGAGTCTCAGGCCTGGTCTGTAAAACAGAATAATGAACATCTGCCTCACAGGCTTGTAGAGTAAAAGGTGAATTCATGTAGCCCAGAGCAGAACTCTAACTTGCATCTGAAAATTCTGCCAATCTAGCTCAAACAGGCATGTGACAAAACTTCCATTTAAATAACACTCTTCCAGGGAGGTGATCTCCAGGTCTCCCTCTCACCCTTGCAGAGGTTCCTCCAGGGACCAGGGCCCCCAGAACTGAAGAGGAAATGGATTCCATGGGAAAGTTCTTGGCACAGGCCTCTGCTCCCATCAAGCACTCGCCCAGTGGACCCAAGGACAGCCAAGCCATCCCAAGTCACAGGGCGCCTTCACAGAGGCTCCCTGAGCTCTGAGCGCCTCACTGTACCTGGGACCCCCCTTCACGGACTTTAATGCTGATGTTAGCTAACACTTCCCGGAGCTTACTTGCTGCCATGCACCTTCTAAACACTCTACATGAGACAGGTGAACTATTATCCCCATTGTACAGGTGAAGAAACTGAGGCACAGAGAGGATTAATAAGTTTGCCCATGATTATTGAGCTAGTACACAGGCCTCATGGGGTAGTGTGGAGGCCCAGATGAAACCAGGATGCACAGATATCTTTGAGGAGCAACATCATGTTCATAAATAATGTGAAAATTGTTCACACCTTTGACCAGATGCAAAGCAAGTTTGTGGCTGGTGAAGCTAATAGAGGCATTCTCCTGCTCCTGAAGGTCAGTCCCGGCCACCTCGGCCACCCTGGACCTGGGTTTGGCAAGGCAGGACAGGACCCTGTCCTGTCTACCTTGCTCTCAGGCCAGGTATGACCCACAGCAGGTGCCAGGAAAACTCTGCCATGTTCAGAATGCAGAAGGATAAATCCAGATTCTGAAAGATTTGGGGGCCAGTGCCCCCTTCCAACCTGGCCCCAACTGCTGGGACCAGCAGAGAAGAGAGACCCTGAGCAGGAAGACTCAGCTGGAGGTCCCTTTGGCTACAGTGACCAAATTCTCTCCTTCACAGCAACAGTAATCACTCTGAATTACAGCTGGGTAGGTGTCTGAACCACTGGCCCTGGGCAAGGGGTCCTGAATGCTCCAGTCACTGGCCTTTTCCAGTAGAGGCCTGGCACATCCATGCTGGTAGGCGGGATCAATGGATATCAATAATAGCTACCATTTATGGGCCATTTAGTATCAGACACTGTCTAAAAGCACTACATGTATCATGCATTTCAACCTATAAGGGAGGTATTATTAAAATTCCATTTTATGGTTGGCAAGACTGAGGTCCGGAAAGGTTAAGACACTTGCCCAGGGTCACACAGTGACAGTCTCCAGAGCTCCCTTTTCCCATCTCACTGGCACTCTGTGTGGTTCTTAAGAGGAGTGGGTGTCCCAGCCTGGAACTTGTGGGGCCCCTTGAGTGCCATCCCTGCCCAGCCCCCGGGGTCCAGCTTGCCCGTGTTGGGTGGAGTGGCAGGGGGAAGGCACTCACCAGCACGCGGTCTCCCAAGTGCAGGTCCTTGTCACCCCGCTTCACGGAGCCACTGTCTGAGAGGTTGGAGCCCGACTCATTGCCTGTCTTAACCGAGCTGTTGAGGACACTCTCCCGCAGCGGGATGACACGGCTGGTCAGTGGCGGTGTGGCCGTGCCTGAATGCAGTGACAGGTTCTGGGCAGTGAGTGACTCCACCGAGTGGGCATCGCTGCCCGAGCCCTCAGCTGTGGGTTGCCGGGCCAGCTTGGATGGCCGTGTGAAGATGCCCTGCAGGGCCTGGCACTCAAAGTAGCGCACACCGCCCACGGCGCCATCGTTCTTGCCCACGGGGTCGTCCAGCACCACGCCGGCCCACTGTCCTGGTGCGAACTGCGTCTCGCCGAGGTACTGCACCACGCCTGGCTTCACGCCATTCACCCACACCCGCTCGCCCACCACGAAGTCCCCCAGGAAGTCATCGCCCACCTCTGCCACCTTCGGGTTGGGCTTCTCGGGGGCGGCAGCTGCCACCACAGAGGAGGGGCCCAAAGCCTGCTTGTGCAGCGGGGAGCCTGTGGAGTGAGGGGAGAGGCAATGGTTAGGGCTTGAGAGGGAGCTGGACCCCCAGCAGCCCCAGGAACACAGAGTTGGAGCTGGAAGGTACCAGGGCTAGCTAACTGATGGGGAAACTGAGGCAGACATAGCTGGCAGTGTGGCCCTGGGCATCCCTAGGTCTCTCCCTACTCTTCCCACCCCTCTGAAAAAGTCTAAGGATTAAAAGCTCAGGAGAACACTTTCTGAGAAGCAACATTTTTCACTACTCAGGGTCACCTGGAATGACCCAGTTCTTGAGGGTTACAAGCTGACACTCCACCCCACGGGCTCAGGCCATCAGCTGTTAACCTGAGCCCATCCATGGCTCCAGGTGGGACTCACATTTTGTGAGTGGTCTCCATGCTCCCCACCCTCTCCCCTAGACAGCTCTGGGCTCCACAAAAGGCTCCCAACCTATTCCTTGACAACTGGCCACAGCCATATACATCTTGGGGCAAGGAGGAGCCAGGAAAACCCTCTTACTCTAGAGCCTAAAGCCAGGGAAAGACAGAGAGAGGAAGCAGAAGGCATGAACTCCAGCCTCTCTGGTCTAAATTGGGCTGAGGGATGCCCTGATCCAGCCCCTCCTTATAGGAAGAATAGTCCTAAAGCTCAAGAAGCTAGGGCCATGCCCAAGGTCGCACAGCAGAAATGGGACTCACATCCAGAAAGGGCACCTGCCTCCCAGCCCGGTTCTGAAGTGCTACAGACTTGGAAAAGGAAGGGAAGGGAAGCAGTATACACAAGGTCACTCACAGAATAAGGCAGGGCTTCAACCCACTGTGCTTCATGTGTGTCTGCATCCTGGGCCCCACGCAGGGCCTACTGTGCACATGGGCATTCAGGAAGCCTATCTATTTGCACTTCAAGGTCCTGAGGCTGCCCGCCACCCTGACAGGCTAAGTGTCAGGCAAAGAAGGTCTTATCCTTCTCCTCTCCTACTTGTGATTCACGGAGGTAGACAGGACGCAAGCAGACACTGCCACGCCCCCACCAGAGCTGCCTATGTTTCTGGTCTTTCCATGGGCAGCGAAGGGAGGGGCTACAAGGCAGCAGCTCCCATGAGAGCTGCTTCCTTTCACCCGTGGCGAAGAACCCCCAGGCCTCAGGCCTGGCTGTATGCGGTCTCAGGGCTGGAAGCCAATTGCTAAGAAAGAGCTTCCGGCAGATGGGGAAGCCACACAACTCCAAGGCAGGGGCCCAACATCCAAGGCCAAGCATGTGGAATCTCTGTCTAGGATACTGGCAGCAGTGGTGGGAAAGCAGGTGGCCACTCAGGGTTTAGGCAGCCAGGATGGGGGCTCCTGATGGGGGAGGGTATACCTCTGAACCGTGAGCTGGCCTGGGACATCAACGAGCTTCACTGTTGAACTTAATTAACAACCAGAATAATCACACCAATTAATTGATATTCTTTGCAAAGAGACTGACAGTGGCTCATCCAACCCTCACAGTTAATCCTATGATTTGTTATTCTTATTTTACAGATGAGGAAACTGAGGTTTGGAGACACCAGGTGCTTTTTCTAGGCTCCTAGGTAACAGGCAGCAGAGACAAGCTCTGGCCAAAGACCTTCGGCTCTTGGTACAAGGCCCTGGCATTCATCCAACACATGTGTATTAAGCACACGCCACGCCAAGCCCCAAACTACTATACTTCAAATCCTGATTCCCCTGAATGGACCTACTTCCCAGAACCTGGACAAACCCTACAGTTCCCTGTAAAGAGGCAACAACCTTGTTTTTCATTCCTTCCTGCGTAGGGAAGTCCCCTTTGGTTTCTTGTTTAGAGAAAAACCTTGCTTGGGACCCGGCTGGGTGGTCCAAGGCTGAGATCCCACGAGATGGAGGCCACAGCAGAGGGAGCAGGCCCTGGAGCCACACAGACCAGCAGTCCCAGCTTCATTTGGGTGTCCTCGCCTGTACCTCTTCCCCAGGGCTGTTGTGTGATGATGGGATCAGTGCTTGGTGCATGAAAGTGAGCAGTGAGTGCTGGCTATTGTTAACTGATGAGAATGATTTATAGGAAAACTAAGGGATTACAAAAAAAACTCTAAACTACAAAAGGCCCAGGAGGCAGAAGAAGGGTTCCCAGGCAGGTTCCGGTGACCTTGGGCAAGTGGCTCTACCACTGGTTAAAACCAGGGGGGTGGCTGAGACCTCTGCAGTCAGCATAAAATACCAAGTGTAACACCGACTCACACAGACACCATCCTGCTGGCTCCCTGTGCTTGGCTGAGCTCCTCAGGGTCTTCGGTCCTGGCCTAGGACAATCCTGCACTACAAGGAGTTTCTGGTGGGATCCAGAACACAACCCCTCCCCCACAGGGCTCTCCCACTCACCAGGCCAGGTGGGCACCTGCCTTGGGAAAACCTGCTCTGAAAGCAGCTACAGGGGGAGGAAGCCACAAATTTAGGAACCCTAGGCCCTGGCTGCCTGGTAATACTGCCCAAGGACCCATCAGCAACAAGGTGTCAATTTGATCATTATTAAAATAACAGCTACATTTATGAAGAATCAACTACATGCCCCCAGGGGAACAGACACTTCCTATACATTACATTTATCTTGCATATTAAGCAAAAGAGGTTATGAAACTTGCCCAAAGTTACCTAGGCAGGGGTTGGGCGCAGCTGGTCAGGCTCAGAGCCCTCCCCGTCACCGGCTCCCTGGTAAGGCACATGGGCACACACCACCCCCCCGTATCCTTTCCTAGAATACTTCCCTGTGCCAAGGTGCCCTATGATGTCTAACTGAGCCGAACCGCTGTGGCCCAGGTAAGAGCCTGTCACCACCTGTTCCCTTTGCTCAGAGCACAGAGGAGGGTCCTGGGTCCAGGGGGACCCAGTGTGCCTATTCTTGGCAAGAAGCTGCCCATTCAGCTGTCCCCCCAGCTGTCCCGATTCAGGCAGACCCTCAGGTGATCTTTCTTCCCCACTTCAGCCCTTACAGGGGTCACAGATCCAGGGATCAGTTGTTTCAACAGTTGCTAAAATCCAGATCACAAGCCTGTGGCACCTGCGCTTGGATGTTACATTTCATTTTCCCTCTTTGGAGCACTAGGCCGCTCCAACCTCCCAGGGACAAGCCCTCATCAAATCCCTACTCACACTGGGCAGCTTTCAGCCCCTGAGGTTGGGAAGGCATGGAGAACCCCGACAGAGTGCACCCTTCCCTCCAAGGGGCCATTAGCCACCCTGGCTAGGCCTGACCAAGCCCCTTCCCGTATGTGGGCCTCGGTTTCCCCATGGGACAAAGGGCTAGGTGGGAAATAACCAGGGTCCTGGTCGGCATTAATATTCCGCATGTCCCACCTCCTCTTCTAGAAGAGTAGCTGTGTATGCAGAGCTGTCAGACCTGGTGGACCGCTGGCCCCCTCATCCATATCCTCATAGCCTCTGAGGCAGGCTCTGGAAGCTCCCTGAGGGTAGGGCCTGGCCTAGCCTCCCTCTCTCCCTCCCTCTGAGCTTCCACACAGCAGCAGTGGCTCAGCAAACCCCCAAGAAAGCAACAGACTTAAACATGACGTGCACAGCTGGTCCTTTCCCCAGACACAAGACAAGTGGGGATTTACTGCCAGTTTGAAGTTCAAAGTAGAACTTTGATGAAAAGAGCTAAAGAACATGGTATGGGGTGGCAGCAGCTGGTGGCCTGGTCCCATGGTGGGTCGGGGGGGCTAATGTGGGTGTCCAGGTGAGAACACATCTGCCCCTCCTCCCACAAGGACTTCGGTCCCGCCTGCCTGGGGAAGTGGGGACGGGCCTTTTCCATACCTGCCAAATCTCAGCCACTCGTGACCCCATTTGCTGAGCACCCAGGGTCAGGCACTGGGGATGGCAGGCAGGGCCAAGTGACGGCCCAGCAAGGGGCTGGGGCAGGAGGAACAACAGGTCTGCAGGTACGACTTCCTGGCCACCTGCCTAGTGGGACCGGACCAAGATCGTGGGGGCCTGGGCTGCAGAGAGAAGGCTCGCTATGAATAGAGATGGGAGCACATCCCAGAACCTCAGCCCCAGACAGTCACACAGCATTCCCTCACCTCCTCAGAGAAACCTGCCCTGACTGCTTCATCTGAAGCCAGCCCACCGCATAGCCTCTACCCCCTTTATCCTTCCAAGACTTATCCTATATCTCCACCTGGGTATGTCTGCCTCCTGGACCTAAACAGAAGCTCAGGAGGCTGTGTCCTCTCTAGCACCCAGTCAGGTGCCAGGCAGCAGGCCCTCAATGCAAACTGAACTGTGGCTTGCTCAGAGGCAGCCCTACTCCCAAGATAGAAGCCTACAAGCTGCAGGGAATCGTTCCCATTTCTTCAATCAGGGCAACTGAGGCTCACTCCAGGCAACCTCCAGTTTACCTGGTCTCCCTTCCACATTCATACCTCCCTGAGGCCAGCCTATTTTCCCCATGTTTTAGAAGAAAAACTCCATTTCCCTCTGGTTTCCCATAGGACCTGTTTAGACCATCTCTCCCCCTCTTCAACACCAGCTTTTCCATAGAACCTGCATGTGGCATGAACACCCCCTGCACACAAAACACAGCTTCCCCCACTGCAGCCCCCTCCTGCTGTCCCCCACTCTATTCCCTCTTCAAACAAGCTTTTTTCCCTCTATTTAAATGTTTATTACACAGATCATTCACGTCTACTGCAGAAAATTTTGAAAACAGTTACTAATTTTTTAAAAAAATTTAAACTACTACAGTTCCATCCCATCACACAAACATAATCACACTTAGCATCTTGGCACTGGCCCTCCAGGCTTCATCCTGTGCACACACACGCATTATATACACTGTGTGCAGGCAAACCTCGGAGACGGTGCAATTTCATCCAGACCACCGCAATGAAGTAAACATCGCAATAAAGCGAGTCATATGAATTCGCTGGTTTCCAGCACATATAAAAATTATGTTCACACTATACTGCAGTCTATTAAGTGTGCAATAGTGTTATGTCTAAAAAAATGTATACACCTTC